CAAAGTCAAACACGATGACTTTAAAATAATTATAGACAAATTTATCTTTCAAGACGAATACAATTTAACACTGAAATTCAGTTCTAATAAGCTTTGCATCAAGCACTTAACCTTTTTGGCGTTTAAGCCTTGATCTTCCTTGGAATACAGCACGAGCTTTGTATATGAGACACTTAACTCTTGAGTAAGAGCTCTGTCTCTTGATGTCTTCTACATGAGAACTCTGGAAAAATTCAGAGTTGTAAGTCTGAATTTAACTTTGGAGTGGTCATCAAAACCTTATTTAAACAAATGTGCACTCCGCACCTTCCTTACAGAGTTGTAAGGCTCTGCCCCTTGGACCCCGCCACCGGGGGTGCTACCCCCGGACCCCCGTCGTTTAGGGGCTTCGCCCCTAAATCAAAATAAACTCAAACAAGTGTGCACTCCGCACCTCCCTTACCTGTTCGATATTTATCATGATTACATTGGTAAACAATTTAATCCCATTACACTTAAATGACATTAGTGATACAAATCATCAACATGAAGTCATCAGATATTGGTCATTTCTCATACTTACAATATAACTCTGAATTGTTATGTTCCAAACTTAGTTATATAGTTTATTTCCAGACTTATAATACAACTCTGAACTCCTCTTCAGAGTTACGTTTCTGAGTTATAAGAAATCAGAATTCTTGTGACTCAGAGTTGTGCTCGTAGATACTTTCTAGACTTAAAAGACAACTCTGAATTCCTCTTATTCAGAGTTAAGTCCAGAGTTATTTTTCAGCATAACAATAGAATTTTGAATTCTTGTGTTCCAGAGTTAATGTTCAGAGTTTTCTTTCAAAGTTAATGTCTAGAGTTTTTCTCATTTAAAATACCCTATGTAATACACAGGTCGAACCTAGTATATATATATATATATATATATATTGCTAATATGTTCAAACTCATTATATCAGAAAGATTAACTACAAAAATATCATTTATATAATATTATAATTATCTATCACATTTCCCCTATTTTATTATCATATATTTGTTAAAAATATATATAATTTTGTGTTGCTTGAACAATGTTACATATAAATGTATATTCTTATTTTATGTCAAACAAAGTAGACTATGACTACATCATCTATTGATATCCAAGAAAATGTCTCTTCAATATCAAAACATTCCCACAAGTAAAAATAATTTATTTTGCTTGTATAACTTCTTTCTTTTTGTAAACCAGACTTTTGTAATATATCATCAGTAATTTTACATAATATGTAATGTTATTTTTATCATGTTCAACGTGCACCTTATACTTCACAAGATATTCTACACAGACAACGTCATTCACTCTAAAATCATGTTCAATATACAAGCTAACCTCTAATATACAAAATCAATATCAAGACATATGCATTAATATCTTGAAAATAAATCAGTAAACAAAATGAATGGTTGAATCTTAACTTTCCAATGTAATTCGTACCAATCAATTTCATTATGTACAAGTTCTATGTGATACTTTTAATGTTTTGTTCAAGTTAATCCCTTTAAAGACCGTAATTATTACTATAATTAAAAGTTTGATCAATGATCAACATCTTCTTTAATAGCTTCATCAATTGCAACCACTTTTGTGATCTACCCATAATGTGCTTTTATTATTATTGATGAACAATCAAACAAACGATTGCAAACCATACTTTGATTAATTGTATATGTATGTTAAAACTGGTTCAACATGTTGGTGTTGTTCTGTGTGGGTCGACGTATGAGAAGGATGGCGGTCGTTGGTGATTAGAGATGGCCAAAAATCGGTCCCGGGCCGGGCCTTAACCGGTTACGGCCGGTCCTAATCGCGACAAAAACCGCTCATAACCGGTCCCTCTATAACCGGTCCCGGTCCCGATGAAAAACTCTATAACCGGTCAAGCTTTCCCATAACCGGTTAAGCCGGCCG